CAGCTTGCTTGTTTGTAGTAGAATTAGTAGATTGCTAATGTTCTGTCTTCATTTTTCATAAATTTCCTTGGGTCAGTGAGAACTCTTTTAATTGCGGGTCAGAAGTCTATTTGAACTGGTTTTATTGCCTCATATAATTGAACTTTTTTTTATGCTGTAGATCAAACCCAGGGCCTTGCATATGTTAGGCAAACACCCTGAGATGAACTACATTCCCAGACTCTCTGACAGATAAGTCTTTTAAAAAAAGAAGAAGAAGAAGAAGACAGAGTCTTGCTATGTAATGCATGCTTGCCTTGAATTCACAATCCTCTTTCTCAACTTCCTGAGTGCAGGGATAGATATATGCCACCATACTCTCCTATAACTGAGAAGTCTTAAGGGACCAGATTCAGTAGTACATGCTAATAATCACAGGTACTCAGGAAGCTGAGGTAGGATTACAAGTATGAGGTCAGCATAGGTAGTTTAGCAAAATCCCAGATATGTAATCCAGGTTGACCTTGAACTCAATGTGGAGCCCAGGCTGTCCTCAAACATGAGGCAAGCCTTCTGCTTCAGCCTCCCTAATACTGGGATTCCAAGCATTGCACCACCATGTCCAGCTTCAAAATAAAAATAATTTTAAGGGGTTAGGGATATGGTAGATGAGAGCTATGGTTCTAGTGTAGAGCTAGGCTCTCAAAGTCATCAAGAATCAGCCCATCAGTATTATTTATCAATTAATTATTCAATTAATTGTATAATACATTACCCTAAAATTTATGACTTTAAACATCTTCCATCTATGACCATCTCTCAGTTTCTGATGGCAAGGAATTTAGGAGAAGCTTAGCTGGGTGATTCTAGCTTGAGATCTGCTCTCGTTTGGAGACAATTGAATGTTCCCTATAGGCCCATGTATTGGAGGACTTGTTCCCAGTATGAGCATGGTATTGGGAAAAGGTGCAGGCCTACGGGTGTTGGGCCACACAGAAGGCATTATCCTTGAAGTGGATTATGGTATTTTCTAGTAGAAGCTTAGTTCTCACAAAAGAGTTGCTAACAACAAGCCTGGCCTCTCCCCCTCTCTCTAGCTTTATGGATCAAGACGCAACCACTTGCTGTCACACACGTCCCACCATTGTGATCTTCCATAAGGTGATACATTTAAGGGGAACCTTCAGAACCTTCACGAAAGCCTAGGCCCTAGGCCATGCTGCTTGGACTTTTGGCGTCCAAAAGCTGAAAGTTAAATAAATCACTTAACTTCACAAGTTACTTTTGTTTCAGGTGTTTTATTTTGATAATAGAAAGCTTACACAAGGTTCCTGGTGAGATTGCAAGGTAGGTGACAGGGCTGCAGCATTCACATGGTGGTCAGATTGTTGCTAGCTGCTGGCAGGAGGCTTTACTTTCTTCCTCCATGGGCCTCTACATGCTGCCTGAGTGTTCTCACAGGGCAGCAGCTGGGTTCCCCTAGAGTGAGTGATCCAAGACCAAGATAGAAACACTGATGACTTTCATGATCTGGGCTTGGAAGTCTAGCACCACCATTTCTGCATATTCTATTTGACACACAGTACTGCTGTGATTCAATGTAAAAAGGTGCTACACAAAGGCATCAATCGATCCAGGAGGTGAGGATAAAGCAGGATAGTTTTGGAACCTGCCTGCCACAGTATTTCTTTTTTTTTCCCACAATTTTATTGAGAAACAAATAGCAATGAGACAGTTTCAGATCAAATTGGTAGGACAGTTTCAATAATTAACACATTGCATAATTCTTCCTAGTGGTTATTTGCTATACAAGATGTGGACATGATATCCTATTTACAAACACTATTAGAACAAATCCCTCTATTCATTAAGAGAGTGTAACTATATATCTATCCTAACCACTTTGAATACACAGATACAAAATGGACATTCATCTGTATCCCCTTTTTTTGTTAAGTTCCATCCTTTAAATATTATAGCTGTGTTAACTCAGCAAAATATTCTAAAAGAGTCCAGTAGCCCATAATAGTATTGGGTCTTCCGCTTCACTGGCAATGTCAGATGTTGACCTGAGTCCCCTACAGCTCAACATAACAGCATGGCTTTACTTTTTATACTTCATTTTTATACTTTTCTGCTGGATGGTTAAGACCAAGATAAAGCAAGACCTATGCAACAAGAGTTGTAGCTTTTGGGTCTGATAAGGTCAGTGAAATCCCCTCAGGATTTATCCTGAGATCCTGTACCTCAGACTGTAGATCCTTTGTCAGTGTCAGCCATGTGCATGAGTCACGGCCATTGCTTGGCCAGTGTGCTCTCTGTGAAAGCCTGAGAGAATGTTTTCTCTCCATGTGACTCTCCTTAGGCACACTCTACATCATCGATCACCACGGTATTTCTTTGCCCTTCTTTCCCTGTTTGCTTTGCTCTTCCTATGTGTAGGCTTCATTCTCAGCCACACACACACACACACACACACACACACACACACACACACACCATCACCACCACTGCCACCACCACCACCACTTACAGAAGTGATAGAGAAGACCATCAATATCTACAACCTATGGGCGGGCCAGATAGATCATCACATTAAAGTCTGCTTAGGTAGACACACAGGGACCTGGGTGATCCCCAGCATTCTGTGCCAGCCCAGCCCCCGGGTTGCGCTGAGACAGTGATTGAGACTGGGCATGGTGGCCTGCGCCTGTAATCCCAGCACTTGGGAGGCTGAAAACAGGAAGATCACTACAAGTCCAATCTGTGTAGTGAGACCCTGTAGACCCTGTACTAAATACATTTAAAAAACAAAATCTACAGCCTAGAGTCTACCTGTTTACTGATCCTAGTGGAAAGAAGTACGTTTTTCCCTAAAGTTCTGGTAGAAGCCTAGGGAAGATTCTGGTTGGTCTGACTTGTTTTTATGCTTATCTCTGAACCAATCACTGTGGTCTAGAGATAACAGTCTCTGATTGGCCAGATGTAAGACCATGCTATGTGCTGACTGGCCAGACATAGGCCAGACTTCCCAGCCTAGAACTGAAGGGAGAGTTAGCAGCACTAGCAGTCCAAGGAAGAAGGGAGGGGGCTAGAGAGATGGCTCAGCAGAATAAGCGCAAGGGCCTGAGTTCAATTCCTGGTTCCACAAAAAAAAAAAAAAAAGGAAGAAGGGAGGGATAGTTCCTTACCAGAAAAATCAAGGTGTCAACATAGAACCAGAATAAATGCTGGGCAGGAAAAGCACTATGTTCATCTCATCTTTTTTCCTGTGTTCCAACTGCATCTTTTAATGCATCAGTTTAATACTTTTCTCATGGCATTAGTAGAATTCTAAGTGATAGGTTCTGGCCCTAGTATTAATTGCTCAAATCATTATGGTGGTCATCTAATATGGCTGATGCCCTTAAAACAAAAGCCCATCTTCCCAAGACCACCTCCCCCTTCTCCAACTCAGTCCAGGGCATAATTTACTTCCACCCTTCCCGTTGCCTCAGGGCAGACCCCCAGTCAGCTCTCTCAGGTATATCTAGACATCCCCTTCAAACTCTACCCCTGACAAAAGGCCATGAAAGCCTTAGCCTCCCTTTGTTCCAATCAAGAGAATTCCTTATCTTCCCCAAATTCTCTCCCTGTTCTCAAAGAAAATAAAGCCCTTTTCCCTTTTTCCTTCTGCCTGTTTCTCTGCTGCACTGGTTACCTGAAAAAACCTATCACTAAGATGGTCGCAAGATTTCCATTCTTATTTCTGTGCACTTTCTCCCAGTTATTCAATTAAACATTGTTCCAGATTTTCTGTAAAACTGTTAAGTGTGTGTGTGTGTGTGTGTGTGTGTGTGTGTGTTTCTGGGGACTGAATATAGGCATGTGCTGGGGTTAACATGTAAGGGAAGTATTTTACCATTAAGCCACACTCCCAGCCCTTCTGTAAATATTTTTTAAATTTTTATTTATGTGTGTGTGTGTGTGTGTATTTGTGTGTGTGTGTGGCCAGCTCAGGCCACCAGGGGGCGGGGCTGGCTGGCATGTGGTGCTGGGGGATTGAACCGCAGTCCCTGTGCTTTGCTAAGCTTGTTCTAAGTAGGTGCTTTAGACCACTGAGCCATCTCACCAGCCCCGGTAAAAAATTTTTTGCAAGGGCTGGTGACATAGCTCAGTGGCACAGTGTCTGCCTGCAAGCACAAGGTCCTGAGTTTGATTCCTAGTACCAAAAAATTAAAAATTAAAAAAAAAATTGGCAAGTATGATCACGGTCCCAATCAGCTGACCTTAAACTTTAAGGAGTATTATCCTTGGTGAGCTATGCCTGATCAAGTGAGTCCTTAAAAGAGATACATCCCACCCCCTGGAAAAAGATTCAAACTACAACAGATTTAACTCAAGGGGGAGTCTCGTTTGGCTTTGAAATTGAATGGAGCACATAGCAATAAATGCAGGTGACATCTAGGAACTAAGTGTGGTCCCTGGTCAGAAAACTCAGTCCTACAAGCACAAGGAATTGCATTCTGCCAATAACCTAAATGGGCTCCAAAGTGAATCTTCTCCAGAGCCCTCAAAGAACTCAGTCTTGATCTTACCCTTGTAAAACAGTATTCAGAGCATAAAACCTAATTACATTTTTATCCATGAATTTGTGAATCAATAAATGTATATTGTTTAGATGGCCAAATTTGTGGCCATTTGTTATGCAGCTATAGAAAGCAGATACATTTCCTGATGGATGTTAAGACTCCTAAAGTAGAGGCAATCTCTTTGATTGCCTTAACCCTCGGATTCCCCAATAGGACCTGGGTCACAAGACTGTCCCTAGTACTGAGTCCAGTCCCACTCTACAACAGACAGGGAAAATATAGTTTTCCATTATTCTACCCCTATCCCCTCCCCAGTCACTTTCCTTGAGATTTACCAAGGAAGCCACTCTGCTTGGCTTCCCACAAGCAGCCTGTGCCCCACCAGGGCAGCTTAGCCAACATTCACTTCCCAAGCCTCAGGGACCTTTGACCAGCCCAATTGATCTGGACTCCTGGGCAGGCAGCTGGACCAACAGACAGACGCCATGAGGGCTCTACTGCTCCTGGGGTCCCTGTTGGTGAGCCTGGAGTCTGCGCTTTCGGTGAGGGCTTTGGGAACTAGGATTGGGCCAGAATGGCGTTGGGGGCTCCAGTGGCCTCTGCCTATCATCTGTTCACAGGTGATGGGGAACCTGTGCGGGAAGGTGTAACCGGGCCAGAAGGCCTAGGCCGAGGAAAAAGACAAACCAGAGCTGGCAGATATGAGAGCACTACCTGCATTTCTGGGGGAAGAAGGGCCCTGCAGAGACAATGGGAGAAGGAAGGCAGGGTTCAAGTCTTATGAGGAAATCTCTGCATTTTTGAGCCCTGAGAGGACTGCAGGGACTGGTGTAGGTTTAGAAGCATGTTACAGCTTTCTAGGCAAATCACGTGCCTTCTCACCTCTGTAGATTCCACCACCTTGGAAAGCCCCCAAGGAGCACAAGCACAGAGAAGAGCAGCTCACAGTGGGTAAGTGGTCTGGCTCCTCTCCAACCTTGCGGGGGATGAGTGTGGTGGGGAGTGTGCAGTCTCAGGATGGCCTCAGGCCTTTGGAATGAGGGGATGGATTCTGAGGACAGAGTGATGTGCCTGACATGCAGACCTGCGTACCTATAATGGCAGGTCTTGGGCCCATAGGTGCTAGAGGCTCGGAGCAATACTGAGTGGCACGCTTCTTGAGGCCAGGGCTCATGTATGGTGTGTCTGAGTGCCCCACCTGGAACATCAGCTCAAGCAGGTGTCTGGAGTAGCTGCCGCTGCTGCCATCACCTGGGTTCTCCCTCTAGTTCCCTGTCTTGGGCCCCTCTGTCCCTTTCACAACATATCTTGAGGGCATCAATCATACCAGACAGAGGCTAGGGCCCTGAATGGGCAAAGAGTGGCCCAGAGCAGAGCTCTGAATCTCAAATACCACTGAATCTGGCTTAATGAGCTGGGGACCAAAGCGAGCCCATTTTACCAGCTTTAGTGAGGTCCAGAGGAGTTTATATTTGTAATCCCAAGGAAAAGTTATTGGAGTTCTAGCAAATAAATTCCAATCTACCACTTCCAGTGCAACCCACCGTGAATAAAGAGACAAACACATATCTATGATGGTGGGGAGCCAAGGGAGTCCTAAGTCCAGTTAGAACAATGGCTAACTGGCACAAAGGCCATGACCCAGGGTGAAGCAGGTGGGGTGTATTTTATCGTTATAAAATTTTATTATAAAATAATTTTAATTAATTAATGAGGAGAGGAGTGGCTTGGTGAGAATGGCGGGACATACTTGAATGGTATAAGTACTGTGAGCTGAGCTAGTTAGAACTCATGATAGCACCTCTGTAATATGCAGAGAGGGGTGCATAGAAAGAGTACTGGATTCCCATTCCTACAGTGGGTAGCCTCTAAGTTTAGAGGAATTTTCATGACGCTGTTTGAGAAAGTATCTTGTGTTTTGGGTTGATGTATTAGCTTTACTTTCTTTTTTTCTTTTCTCTCTCTCTCTCTCTCTCTCTCTCTCTCTCTCTCTCTCTCTCTCTCCCTGTCTCTCTCTGTCTGTCTGTCTGTCTCTCTCTCTTTTTTTTTTTTTTGGTGGAACTGGGGATTGAACTCAGCACCCTGTGCTTGCCAGGCAAGCGCTTATTCATCTGAGCTGTCTCCCCAGCCCCTATGCGTTAGCTTTGATGTCTGGCCTTCATGCCCTGAGACATCATGGGTTCTTTCTTTCAGTCTCTGCTGACAGTGCACCAGTTGGCCTAGCCCACACTTACTAGTTGGGAGCTATAGGCAGGGCATCGTTGACCTGTCACATTGATTCAAAGGCAACACTTCTGTGCCTGGGCTAGACCCATTTGCACTGCTTAAAGGCAATTGAGGGGGGCAAAGTATTTTCCCAGCCAGCTCTGTACGTATATATCAATACACAGAATTAGGGCCAGATTTAGCCAAGATGGAGTTGCATGGTCTTCTTTCAAGGAGAGCCATCCTGGTGACCCTCTACACATGACCCTGGATGAGTGACTTGATTTCACTGCCCTTTAGTTTCCTCATTTGTAAAACCAGCCTGGAATAGTGAATGTGATGGTTGTTTAGAAAGAAAAATGAGTAGTTGTCCTGTAAGGCAGTGAGTCCAGAACTTGGTGCTTACCAAATGATTTAAAAATCTTAGATTTTTTGATATGGGGATGGTAGTGTATGCCTGTAATCCCAGCACATGGAGGCTGAGGCAAGAGAGTCGTGGTGAGTTCAAGGCCAGCCTGGACTACAGGGAGAGACACAGTCTCAAAAAAACAAACCAAATAGGGGCTGGAGAGATGGCTCAGTGGTCTAAAGCACCTACTTAGAACAAGCTTAGCAAAGCATCAGGGACCCGGTTCGATCCCCCAGCACCACATGCCAGCCAGCCCCGCCCCCTGGTAGGCTGAGCTCACCACACACACTCACTCTTTCTCTGTCTCTCTCTCTGTCTCTCTCTCTCTCTCTCTCAAATAAATAAAAAAAAATTTAAAAAAAAATAACTTTCAAGAAATGTTAGATTTTGGGGTGGGGTACTACTCAGTGGTAGAGCAGTTGTCTAGCAAGTGCAGAGCTCCAGGTTTGATTCAAAGCACTGAAGAATAGGTAAATGTCTTTTTTTTTTTTTTTTGCAAATATCTTAGTTCTTATATAAAGTGCCCACTACACGGGGGGGGTGCCTGCCATCTGCCCTTTCCTCACACCTTACCACCGCCCCCCTTCATTCTACCAGGCATTGCATGTGTATCTAGAGTGTGCAATGCTCTGGGCTTAGGAACTACTTAGACCCTGCTCTGCTCATACTGGCCTGGTGAGGCTCAGCCTCAGCCCACAGCACGATGTTGAGGCCCAGATACAATGTGAACCTGGACTTGTGCAGTATCTTTTTCACACCCTTCATAAAGCCAAACTATTCTCTTTCTTGCCTGACCCAACTGGAGGGCCCTCTTTCTCTCTCTCTCTCTCTCTCTCTCTCTCTCTCTCTCTCTCTC